AGATGTCAGTGGACATGGAGAAAGCTGTAGAGGAGTCTGGGGAGCTCTGGGCTGGCTCCTGGTCACTCTCAACACTCTTTCCATGCTCTGTGCAACATCCCTGAAGGGCAGGCACTGCCATGCAGCAGTGATGGCAGCTCAAGCCTCAGCAGGGCTCAGGCCCAGAGGCACAGCAATTACCTTTCGTTACTGTGCCTGGCATGGCCTCCCTTCCTGCAGAAGAGACTGCCAATGAGCCACTGCTTCCTCTGGAAAGTGCTGCCTTCAGCAGAGCTCTTTGGTCCTTCTCTGGAAAAAGAAAATTATATAGTTGGATCAGATGGAACCATTCCCCATTGGGGAATCTTCAGGAGGCAATGCTTATCAAAGACTTGGTTAAGGATCAGGAAATCATATAAATTTTGGGGATTGGCCAGGGCCCTGCTTGGTTCCAACAGCTGCCGTTCCTGATCTACTCGGAGACTGAGAAATTGCTGGAGACCTCAGGGTGTGCATGGCCCATGGTGCAGTTTGGGCTCCCTGTCTGCTGATGCCAAATGCCTTCCTGCAGAGGCTGGGGAGAAGCTGCAGCCAGGCCAGGCTGGGAAACAGCTCTGCAGTCCGTGAAAGCAGCAGCAGGGCAGCCAGGCTGCCATGGATCCCTTCCTGCTGTGCTGGGCACAGCGTGTCCAGATATGAAGAGAAAGCCCCCAGCTAAGGGACATGGACCCACCTTGTGCTCCCTGCAGCATTTCCTTCAGCATTTGCTGCATGGTCTTGGAGTGGTACTGGGGTTTCTTGGGTCCTGTGGTTTTGGCATTTCCTCTTGGAGGACCTTAGAGCAAAACAGTTCCATTTCCCAGGAATGGATCCCACAAAACCAGGGGTGAGCCTGTGGGGTCAGCAAGGACAGACCACTCACCCCTGCGATGGGAGCCAGGCTTGCGGGCAGTAACAAGCCAGGAGCTGGGAAAGTCCTCCCTGCAGACACACCTGTAACTCAACAGCCACAGAAGCTTCTGTCACCTGGTTCCTACCAGGTTGTCAATGATTATTCCTCAATGGGAATCTGAGAACATACCTGCAGGAGGCTCCAAGGGCTTCACAACTTTATGCAGCCAATGTAATGGAGAAACCTTCCCAGGAACCTCCTCTGGAAGGGAGCACAGATGAGAACCTTTTTCAGGGTGTGCTGGGATCACTTTCTGCCTTAGGGAACTGGGCACTGCAAGGGGTTAGGTAAGACCATGGGAGCTAGATGTCAGTGGACATGGAGAAAGCTGTAGAGGAGTCTGGGGAGCTCTGGGCTGGCTCCTGGTCACTCTCAACACTCTTTCCATGCTCTGTGCAGCATCCCTGAAGGGCAGGCACTGCCATGCAGCAGTGATGGCAGCTCAAGCCTCAGCAGGGCTCAGGCCCAGAGGCACAGCAATTACCTTTCGTTACTGT